ACTACTACTTCTACTTCTACTACTACTACTACTACTACTACTACTACTACTACTACTACTACTACTACTACTACTACTACTACTACTACTACTACTACTACTACTACTACTAATAGTAACAATACTAATAATAACAATACTATGATTAGTAATAATAGTAACAATAAGAGCACGAATGCTTATAATACTAATAATCACAATAATAATAATTAGAAGAATAAGAAGAAGAGGAGGAGGAGGGGGAGGAGGAGGATGACGAGGAGGAGGAGGAGGAGGAGGACGAGGGATCTATATATATATATATATAGAGAGAGAGAGAGAGAGAGAGAGAGAGTGAGAGAGATTGAGACACACAGAGACATAGACAAACATGCACACATGCACATGCTAGCGTGCGCGTAGCCATCCAAACAGTGCGTTTCCCTTCCTGATCAGGCGCAAGCTTCTGGTGGGTCACGCGGTACCAGCGTCGGCAAGACACAACCCTGCTTTGGCACCGAATTGTCCCATGTTAGTTCTATCGCTGGCCCGACCCCGCCCCTTTCCCACTGCAGTGCTATCGCAGGGATTCCGATCTCCCAATCCCCCCTTCCCTGGCGATCAACACATCCTGTCCGTATCAGCACGTCAATCACCGATCTCGGCTCAAGCACCAGCGAGTGTAGTCAGGCCTCTCCGCCCCCCTCCTTCTCTTCTCCCGTCCTCTCCACCTCCCCTCCTCCTCTCCATTTCTCCTGCTTCCTCCGTTCCGCCATCCCTCCGTCCCTCCTCCACCTCTTCGGCATGCTCTCCTCCGCTCCAGTTGGTATCAGCTCCCCCACCTCCCTCGTCCTCCTCCTCCTCCTTTTCCTCCTCCTTTTCCTCCTCCTCCTCCTCCTCCTCCTCCATTTAAGTTGGCCAAGCATAAGCATCTTGGCCATGACGTTATTCTTCCTCCTCCTACTCCTACTCCTCTTCCTCCTTCTGCTCCTACTCCTCTTCCTCCTCCTCCTCCTCCTCCGCCTCCTCCTCCTCCTCTTCCTCGTCGTCGTCCTCCTCCTCCTCCTCCTCCTCCTCCTCCTCCTCCTCCTCCTCCTCCTCCTCCTCCTCCTCCTCCTCCCCTCTTCTTGCTGCTCCCTCCTCATCAGTTCGCAGTTCTCAGTGCACCCAAGTGGGGATCTGTGTGGCTTCTCTGTCCAGGGCAGCCGAAGGCCCCCCACCCACCTGCGCCACGTGGCTGGCAGGCAGAGTGTGCTGGTGCTGTCCAGGGGAACCCACACAGCCTGCGCTTCCGGTGAGGTCGTAGGCTGAGATCCCCCCGAGGGCCAAGTCGATGTGGCCCGTGCTCAGGAGTGCTGGTGCTGTACAGGGGAACTCACACAGCCCGCGCTTCCGGTGAGGTCGTAGACAGAGATCCCCCCGAGGGGGAAGTCGTTGTTGTCCGTGCTCAGCAGTGCTGTTTCTGTCCAGGGGAACCCACACAGCCTGCGCTTCTGGTGAGGTCGTAGACAGAGATCCCCCCAAGAGCCAAGTCCATGTGGCCCGTGCTCAGCAGTGCTGTTTCTGTCCAGGGGAACTCACACAGCCCGCGCTTCTGGTGAGGTCGTAGGCAGAGACCCCCCCGAGGGCCAAGTCGATGTGGCCCGTGCTCAGGAGTGCTGGTGCTGCACAGGGGAACTCACACAGCCCGCGCTTCCGGTGAGGTCGTAGACAGAGATCCCCCCGAGGGGGAAGTCGTTGTTGTCCGTGCTCAGCAGTGCTGTTTCTGTCCAGGGGAACCCACACAGCCTGCGCTTCTGGTGAGGTCGTAGACAGAGATCCCCCCAAGAGCCAAGTCCATGTGGCCCGTGCTCAGCAGTGCTGTTTCTGTCCAGGGGAACTCACACAGCCCGCGCTTCTGGTGAGGTCGTAGGCAGAGACGCCCCCGAGGACCAAGTCGATGTGGCCCGTGCTCAGGAGTGCTGGTGCTGCACAGGGGAACTCACACAGCCCGCGCTTCTGGTGAGGTCGTAGACAGAGACCCCCCCGAAGGCCAAGTCGATGTGGCCAGTGCTCAGAAGTGCTGGCGCTGTACAGGGGAACTCACACAGCCCGCGCTTCTGGTGAGGTCGTAGACAGAGATCCCCCAGAGGGCCAAGTTGATGTGGCCCGTGCTCAGAAGTGCTGGTGCTGTCCAGGGGAACTCGCACAGCCCGCGCTTCTGGTGAGGTCGTAGGCAGAAATCCCCCCGAGGGCCAAGTCGATGTTGTCCGTGCTCAGCAGTGCTGGTGCTGTGCAGGGGAACTCACACAGCCCGCGCTTCTGGTGAGGTCGTAGGCAGAGACCCCCGCGAGGACCAAGTCGATGTGGCCCGTGCTCAGCAGTGCTGGTGTTGTCCAGGGGAACTCACACAACCTCCGCTTCTGATGAGGTCGTAGACAGAGATCCCCCCGAGGGCCAAGTCGATGTGGCCCGTGCTCAGAAGTGCTGGTGCTGCACAGGGGAACTCACACAGCCCGCGCATCTGGTGAGGTTGTAGACAGAGATCCCCCCGAGGGCCAAGTCGATGTGGCCCGTGCTCAGGAGTGCTGGCGCTGTACAGGGGAACTCACACAACCCGCGCTTCTGGTGAGGTCGTAGACAGAGATCCACCGAGGGCCAAGTCGATGTGGCCCGTGCTCAGAAGTGCTGGTGCTGTACAGGGGAACTCACACAGCCTGCGCTTCTGGTGAGGTCGTAGGCTGAGATCCCCCCGAGGGCCAAGTCGATGTGGCCCGTGCTCAGAAGTGCTGGTGCTGTACAGGGGAACTCACGCAGCCCGCGCTTCTGGTGAGGTCGTAGACTGAGATCCCCCCGATGGGGAAGTCGTTGTGGCCCGTGCTCAGAAGTGCTGGTGCTGGACAGGGGAACTCACATAGCCCGCGCTTCTGGTGAGGTCGTAGACAGAGATCCCTCGAAGGCCAAGTCGATGTGGCCCGTGCTCAGAGGTGCTGGCGCTGTACAGGGGAACTCACACAGCCTGCGCTTCTGGTGAGGTCGTAGGCTGAGATCCCCCCGAGGGCCAAGTCGATGTGGCCCGAGCTCAGAAGTGCTGGTGGCGCACAGGGGGACTCACACAGCCTGCGCTTCTGGTGAGGTCGTAGACAGAGATCCCCCCGAGGGCTTAGTCGATGTGGCCCGTGCTCAGGAGTGCTGGCGCTGTACAGGGGAACTCACACAGCCCGCGCTTCTGGTGAGTTCGCAGACAGAGATCCCCCCGAGGGCCAAATCGATGTGGCCCGTGCTCAGGAGTGCTGGTGCCGCGCTTCTGGTGAGGTCGTAGACAGATCCCCCCGAGGGCCAAGTCGATGTGGCCCGTGCTCAGGAGTGCTGGCGCTGTACAGGGGAACTCACACAGCCCGCGCTTCTGGTGAGGTCGTAGACAAAGATTCCCCCGAGGGCCAAGTCGATGTGGCCCGTGCTCAGAAGTGCTGGTGCTGTACAGGGGAACTCACACAGCCCGCGCTTCTGGTGAGGTCGTAGACAGAGATCCCCCCGAGGGGGAAGTCGTTGTGGCCCGTGCGCAGAAGTGCTGGTGCTGTACAGGGGAACTCACACGGCCCGCGCTTCCGGTGAGGTCGTAGGCAGAGATCCATCGAAGGCCAAGTCGATGTGGCCCGTGCACAGCAGTCCTGGTGGCGTACAGGGGAACTCACACAGCCCGCGCATCTGGTGAGGTCGTAGACAGAGACCCCCCCGAGGGCCAAGTCGATGCGGCCCGTGCTCAGAGGTGCTGGCGCTGTACAGGGGAACTCACACAGCCCGCGCTTCTGGTGAGGTCGTAGACAGAGATCCCCCCGAGGGCCAAGTCGATGTGGTCCGTGCTCAGAAGTGCTGGTGCTGTACTGGGGAACTCACACAGCCCGCGCTTCCAGTGAGGTCGTAGATAGAGATCCCCCCGAGGGCCAAGTTGGTCGAAGTCAGACAGACAATGCAGAGAGACACAAAGGCAGACACAGACAAAGACAGACACAGGCAGAGAGACCGACTGCCAGACGGAAGGACTTACAGACATACGGTATGTCTGTAAATCCTTGCCATACCTGCGCGTCCAAGGTCAACCCGCCTGTCCGAGCTGGCCAGCACAGCTGGCCGCCCCCCCGGGATTCGAGGGGAGACGGTCCCGATTTTCCACCACCATTACTATAGGGTCAGGAGGAGGGGGAGGAGGCGGAGGAGGCGGAGGAGGAGGAGGAGGAGGAGGACGAGGCGGAGGAGGAGGAGGAGGCGGAGGAGGAGGAGGCGGAGGCGGAGGCGGAGGCGGAGGAGGAGGAGGCGACGGAGGGAGCGAGGAGGGGAGGCGAGCGGTCGTCCCCCAGGCATCATCCCTCGATTCAGGCGGCATCGAGGAGGACAAGGAGGAGGGAGCAGATGATAGTTCACAGAGCGAATCACATCATGCCGCCGTGCACGTGCCAAAAGCGTAGCAAGTTGCGCTCAAGTTCGGCGACGAGGAGAACGACCTCGTCGTAGCCCGACTTGTCTGGAAGCAGCCTGGACAGGTGGCACGGCTATTCTGCCGCTGGCCTTGTGGGCGGCCTCCATTTGAGTACATGGAGCGATACATGACGATGCACGGAAAGGAACTGACGCCGAAGACAGCATAGGCGCATCCATGAAAGACCAACCCGCTGCAAGAGACACGAGAGACTGCACCGCACGGCGCCCCCCGAGGTGCCCGAGAGCTGCATAGGCAAGCAGCCCGACGGCCCCCGAGGTGCCCAACCCAGAGGTATCCGGCACGGAAGCGCGCCACTGCCCTTTGCCCGAGCAGCCTCTTCCGGGCGAGGTGCACAGACGCACGAGGACGATGGGTGGCCCACCGCCGGCAGCGCCCAGGCATGTGCGCCCGGCATGTCATCGTCCCTCCTTCTCCTCCTCATCCTCCTCCTCCTCCTCCTCCTTCTCTGCTCCTCCTCCTTCCTCCTTCCTCCTTCCTCCTTCCCTCCTTCCTCCTCGTCCTCCGCCTCCTCCTCCTCCCTCCCTCCTCCCTCCCTCCTCCCCTCGAGCCCACATCTCGGCTCAGTGCCAGTCGGTGCGCGCCTGCCGTGCCAGGGCGGCCCGCCCGGCAGCTCCCTGGGTGCCGTCGGACCCCGAGGTCCGACGCAGAGAACAAAAAGCGGCATCGCGAAAAATCATAGGGCGGAGGAGGGCGAGCCAGGGCGTTTTTCAGGAAAGGGCCGCGCCCTTCGAGGGGAATCGGGCGGGCATGTGAGGAGCCCCAGGCCTCCTCTTTCGCGTCACTGTCCGAGCCGGATCGGACTGTGCGGGCCCCGGGGCCCGAAACCGGGCGAGCCCGCCGCCAGGATCTCCGGGGAGGCCCCACTGGCGGCCCGGGCCCAGAGGCGCGCGATGGGCGACGGGGCGCCCGGCCTGGGGGAGCTCCTGGGGGACCCCGGGGCGGCCGGGGCGGCCCTGGAGGCGCTGCCGCCAGAGCAGGGCCAGGCGCTGGCCGCGCTGGCGGAGGGCCTCGCCGCCTCCGTCGTCGTCGGTCTCGCCGCCGCCGCCGCCGCCGTCGTCGTCGCCGTCGTCGCCGTCGCCGTCGCCGTCGCCGTCGCCGTCGCCGTCGTCGTCGTCGTCGTCGTCGTCGTCGTCGTCGTCGTCGTCGTCGTCGCTGATCGTCTTCGTGGAGGAGGAGGCGGAGGAGGAGGAGGAGGAGGAGGAGGAGGAGGAGGAGGAGGCAGAGGAGGAGGAGGCGGAGGAGTAGGAGGAGGAGGAGGGGGGAAGGGAGGACGGCAGGAGCAGAGTGTGCGGCGCGGAATCGACTACGCCTCCCTCGGGCTGGGCTGGAGCCATCCAGAGACGCGGCTGGCCTACCGGCACGCCAGGGGCCAGTCCTTCGGGAAGGATCGGATGGGCCTAGAACCGAGATGCACCTGATCGGCCAATGTTCCACCACCACTACTACAGACATGACGGGACGAATGGAGGATGGGGAGGTCCTCCTCCTCTTCCTCCTCCTCCTCCTCCTCCTCCTTCGTCTCCTCTTCCACAAGTACACAATCTGAATACTACTCTTCTCTCTCCCCTGATGACGTCTGGAAGATCTCTGGCCCCCCTCCGCGTACTGTCTTTTTACATGCAGGATTCCCGGGAAGCGGGTTTTCGCTATTTTTTTCAAATTGTTGCTCCCGCTGAAGCGCTGGCCTCATTTTCGGGCTTCCGCTCGTTCCGAATCGTGCTCCCGCTGCAGCGCTGGTCTCATTTCCGCACTTCCGCTCGTTCCGAATCGTGCTCCCGCTACAGCGTTGGCCTCATTTCTGCACTTCTGCTCGCTCCGAATCGTGCTCCCGCTGCGGCGTTGGTGTCACTATTTCCGGTGCCATGGCACGGCATGGTTTTCGGTCTTTCTAAATCGGCCCCCAAATCTAGAAAATGCCCCCCCGAAAACACCATCGGAAGTGATTCCACATTCGGTGTCGATTCGTTGATTTTCGGGGCCGCATAAGCCCCCCTCCACTTTGGGGGCGTCGCCACGCCATGTTATGTCATACTACGCGTTGACCTTCAACACCATGCTATGCCATGTAATGCTATGCCATTCTACGTCATCCGCCTGTGCGAATAGAGAGGATATCGACGCCATGGTAAGGGCTGGGACGGAGGGGCAGGACGTCAGATATGGCGCGAGCGCACCTAGCTTGTCGACCTCCTCCTCCTCCTCCTCCTCCTCGTCCTCCTTCTCCCCCTCCTCCTCCTCCTCCTCCTCCTCCTCCTCCTCCTCCTCCTCCTTCTCCTCCCACTCCTCCTCCTCCTCCTCCTCCTCCTCCTCCTCCTCCTCCTCCTCCTCCTCCTCCTGACCCTATGGTAGTGGTGGTGGAAAACTGGCCCATCAAACTCCGTTCCAGAGCGTTCTGGAACGCTTTCAAAGCGCGCTGGAAAGCTCTGAAACGGCCGCGGCGCCCGATACATCCTCCAGATCCGCCGATCTGCAGAGATCTCCAATTTTTCTCGGCCCGATTTCGTCTCGATTCTGCCCTCATCTTACAGGAGGCCTCGCGGGCGCGCCAGCAGCGCTCCAGAGAGCGGCTGGTGGAGCTGGCGAAAGTCGGCTGGCGGAGCGAGCGGGCCGCCCCGAGGAGAGCGGACAGCTGATTGCCGCCGCCTTCTGCGAGGAGACAGGCGGGGAGAGCGGAGAGGGTCCAGAGGAGGAGGGAGGAGGAGGAGAAGGAGGAGGAGGAAGAGGAGGACGAGGAGGAGGAGAGGAGGAGGAGGAGGAGGAGGAGGAGGAGGAGGAGGAGCGGAGGAGGCGGAGGAGGCTGAGGGGGAGGAGGAGGAGGACGAGGAGGAGGAGGAGGGGGAGGATGGGGAGGAGGAGGAAGAGGAGGAGGAGGAGGAGGAGGAGGAGGAGGACGATGAGGAGGAGGGGGCGGGGGAGGAGGAGGAGGAGGAGGAGGAGGAGGAGGAGGCGGAGGAGGAGGAGCAGGAGGAGGAGGAGGAGGAGGAGGAGGAGGATGATGACGATGACGATGATGATGATGATGGGGATGATGATGCTGATGATGATGATGATGATGGTGCTGGTGCTGATGCTGATGCTGGTGATGATGATGATGATGATGATGATGATGATGATGATGATGATGATGATGATGATCATGATGACGATGATGATGATGCTGATGATGATGGTGCTGGTGATGCTGATGATGGTGCTGCTCATGCTGATGATGATGGTGCTGATGCTGATGCTGATGCAGATGATGATGGTGATGCTGATGCTGATGCTGATGATGATGATGATGATGATACTGATGTTGATGAAGATGGTGATGCTGATGCTGATGCTGCTGATGATGATGCTGACGATGATGTTGATGATGATTCTGCTGACGACGATGATGATGATGATGATGATGCTGTTGATGATGATGATGATGATGATGATGAGGATGATTCTGCTGACGATGATGCTGCTGCTGATGCAGCTGCTGATGCTGCTGATGCTGCTGCTGATGATGATGACGACTTACGATGATGATGATGATGATGATGATGATGATGATGACGACGATGCTGATGCCGATGATGATGATGCTGCTGATGCTGATGCTGATGCTGATGATGATGACGATGATGCTGCTGATGATGCTGATGATGATGATGGTGCTGGTGATGCTGATGATGATGCTGATGCTGATGATGATGGTGCTGCTGCTGATGCTGATGCTGATGATGATGGTGTTGCTGATGTTGATGCTGATGATGATGACGATGCTGATGCTGATGATGATGCTGATGCTGATGTTAATGATAACGATGCTGATGATGCTGATGCTGACGATGATGTTGATGATGACTCTGCTGACGACGACGATGATGATGATGATGATGATGATGATGATGATGCTGATGCTGCTGATGATGATGATGATGCTGATGCTGATGATGACGACGATGCTGATTATACTTACGATGCTGATGATGATGATGATGATGATGATGATGATAATGATGATGATGCTGATGCTGATGCTGATGATTATGCTGATGCTGATGATGATGATGCTGATCACGATGAGCATGATGCTGATACTGATGATGATGCTGCGGATGCGGATGATGATGATGATGATGATGATGATGATGATGATGATGATGATGATGCTGATGATGATGATGATGATGATGATGATGATGATGCTGGTGCTGCTGATGATGACGATGATGATGCTGATGCGGATGATGCTGCTGATGATGACGATGATGACGATGATGCCGACGATGATGATGCTGCTGATGATGCTGATGCTGCTGCTGATGATGATGATGCTGATGATGATGATGATGATGATGCTGCTGATGATGATGATGCTGCTGATGCTGATGATGATGATGATGATGATGCTGATGATGGTGATGATGATGATGATGATGATGATGATGTGTATGATGATGATGATGATTGATGATGATGATGCTGATGATGATGAGTTTATGATGATGCTGATGCTGATGCTGATGTTGATGATGATGATGATGATGATGATGATGATGGTGGTGGTGATGGTGATGATGACGATGCTGATGATGATGCTGCTGGTGATGCTGATGATGCTGCTGCTGCTGATGATGATGATGATGCTGAAATGATGCTAATTGTGCTGCTGCTGATGCTCCTGCTGATGATGCTGATAATGAAGGTGCTGCTGCTGCTGCTGATGATGATGATGCTGATGATGATGATGATGATGCTGATGCTGCTGCTGCTGATGATGATGATGATGATGATGATGATGAAGATTTTGATGATGATGATGCTGATGATGATGATGATGATGATGAAGATTTTGATGATGATGATGATGATGCTGATGATGATGATGATGATGATGATGATGATGAGGATGAGGATGATGATGATGATGATGATGATGATGATGATGCTGATGCTGCTGCTACTGATGATGATGATGATGAAGATTTTGATGATGATGATGCTGATGATGATGATGATGATGATGATGATGATGCTGATGCTGATGCTGATGCTGCTGATGCTGATGCTGATGCTGATGCTGATGTTGATGATGGTGGTGATGATGATGATGATGATGATGATGATGATGAGGAGGAGGAGGAGGAGGAAGAGGAGTGGGAGAGGAGTCGGAGTTGGAGTCGGAGTCGGAGTCGGAGGAGGAGGAGGAGGAAGAGGAGGAAGAGGAGGAGGAGGAAGAGGAGCAGGAGAAGGAGGAGGAGGAGGAGGAGGAAGAGGAGGAGGAGAGGAGGAGGAGGAGGAGGAGGAGGAGGAGGAGGGTGAGGAGGATGAGGAGGGGGAGGAGAGGAGGGAGGAGGGAGGAGGAGGAGGAGGAGAGGAGGAAGGAAGGAGGAGGAGGAGGGGGAGGAGGGGAGGAGGCGGGAGGAGGAGGAGGAGGAGGAGAGGAGGAGGAGGAGGAGGAGGCAGGAGGAGTGAGAGGAGGGGGAGGAGGGGGAGGCGGAGGAGGAGGAGGCGGAGGAGGAGGAGGAGGGGGAGGGAGGAAGCAGGAGGAGGAAGCAGAGCAGGAGCAGGAGCAGGAGCAGGAGGAGGAAGAGGAGGAGGGGGACGAGGAGGGGGAGGAGGAGGAGGAGGAGGAGGAGGAGGAGGAGGAGGAGGAGGAGGAGGAGGAGGCGGAGGAGGAGGATGGAGGAAGAGGGGGAGGAGGACAAGGAGGAGGAGGGGGAGGAGGAGCAGGAGGATGAGGAGGAGGAGGAGGAGGGGGAGGAGGAGGAGGGGGAGGAGGAGGAGGAGGATGATGAGGAGGAGGAACGCCATCGCAAATCCAAGACGCGTCAGCCCCATCATACTTTCCTTTCATTGCGGGAGCTGCCCCATTGGTAGACAACCGTCCGCGAATTCTCGATCGTGCCAATCACAGTTCCTGCAGCTTCAACTTCGCGAATGAGAGTGACTGTTGCGCCCTGACTATCCTAAATCGTACCAACACGCAGTCCTGGGACTTAACACTACGACTCAAATATACTATTGCGTCCTGTCAGTCCTGAGTCGTGCCAGAACGCCGTTCCTGGAACCTCAACCGTGCGAATCCTTGAACTTGCAGCGAACTTTTAAGACGAATGTGCGCGGCGCTAAGGCGAGAGCCACATTTTGAAAACCACCCGCCCTCCGTGTTTGAAACTGGTGTTAGTTTTAAAGACAAAGGTGGACGGACATTCATGTCGAGATCCCACCAATATTTGAAGTGCCCGCCCGCGATCATATTGAGATGCGGTCGCGTAGCTGTACATGCACAGCGAGTTCGAAAGGGAGTCTGGTCAGCTGCTGGAAACTTTGAGCTGCTCAGCTGCCGAACAATTATCGTAGTCATAAAGCCTCTTGGAAATTTCAGGCGAAAACTCTATTTTGGAAAGGAGCCGTCATTCATATCACTAGCTGTTAGAGGCTTGAAAATGTAAGAACGTAGAGGCATGGAAGCCTTGCGCGAGATCCATCTTTTTGAGAAAGGGTCCGTCCTCCATCTGTGTAGTTGGCTGGAACTTCAAGCTTCCTTCAATTCCACGACGCCCAGGGCGAGAGACACTTCTGACATAGAACTGTCCATCTGGTCAGCTGTTGGACATTCCGAGACTCGGGATCAGAAGGTCGGAGCAAGCCTCGGGCGAGAGCCGCACGTCCAGAAGGAGCCGCCCTCCTTCCGAGCGGCCACCGGCAGCTGCCAAGACGAGAAGAGTGCGCGGCGGACAGCACGACAGCCCGAGCCACAGTCAAAGAAGAACGAGCTGTCGTCGAGCAGGCGGAGGAGGAGGATGAGGAGGAGGAGAAGGAAGAGGATGAGGAGGAGGAGGAGGAGGAGGAGGAGGGTCAGGAGGAACAGGAGGAGGAGGAGGGTCAGGAGGAACAGGAGGAGGAGCAGGAGGAGAAGGAGGAGGAGGAGGACCAATGTAAAGCCAGGAGTCATGAACGATGTTGGAATGAGCCCTCCCTCCAAGCTTCCTCTTCACAGGCCCCCACAACGGTTCATTTCTGTTGATGGAACTGCCCCGTTGGAAGACAACCGTTTGAAGATCTTGAAGCATGCCAAAACATTTTTCTCGGGATTTCAAAGCCACGTATCAACCTGACTGCTGCGTCTTGACGATCTGGAGTCGCGCCAGAGCGCCATTTTTGATGCTTCAACACCGCGAATCAACATAACTCCGGCACCCGCATGATCCTGAGTCCTTCCAAAACACAGTTTCTGGTACGTTGATCATGGGAATCCGTGAAACTCTGGCAAATTTTGAAAACGAATGTGCGCGGCGCTAAGGCGAGAGCCACATTTTGAAAAGGAACCGCCCTCAATCCGTGAAGCTCTTGTGATTTTTTGAAAACGAATGTGCGCGGCGCTAAGGCGAGAGCCACATTATGAAAGCCATCCGCCCTCAATCCGTGAAGCTCTTGCAAATTTGTAAAACGAATGTGCGCGGCGCTAAGGCGAGAGCCCCATTTTGAAAAGGAACCGCCCCTCAATCCGTGAAGCTCTTGCAAATGTGTAAAACGAATGTGCGCTACGCTAAGGCGAGAACCACATTTTGAAAAAGCAACCGCCCTCACTCCGTAAAGCTCTTGATTTTTTTTGTAAAACGAATGTGCGCGACGCTGAGGCGAGAGCTACATTTTGAAAACGACCCGCCCTTAATCCGTGGAGCTCTTGTGAATATTGAATAAGAATGTGCGCGGCGCTGAGGCGAGAGCTACATTTTGAAAGCCACCCGCCCTCAATCCGTGAAGCTCTTGCAAATTTGTAAAACGAATGTGCGCGGCGCTGAGGCGAGAGCCACATTTTGAAAAAGGAGCCGCCATGAATCCGTGAAGCTCTTGCAAATGTGTAAAGCGAGTGTGCGCTGCGCTAAGGCGAGAGCCACATTTTGCGAAAGCCGCCGCCCTCATTCCGTAAAGCTTTTGTGTTATTTTGAAAACTAATGTGCGCGGCGTTAAGGCGAGAGCTACATTTTGAAAACCACCCGCCTTCAATCCGTGAAGCTCTTGCAAATTTGTAAAACGAATGTGCGCGGCGCTAAGGCGAGAGTCACATTTTGAACAGAAACCGCCCTCGATCCGTGAAGGTCTTGCAAAGTTTGAAAACTAATATGCGCGGCACTAAGGCGAGAGTTACATTATGAAAACCACCCGCCCCCGCCTTCAATCCGTGAAACCTTTCCGCCCGTTTATAACGAATGTGCGCGGCGCTAAGACGAGAGCCACATTTTGAACACCCGCCCTCAATCCATGGAGCTCTTGCACATGTTGAAACCGAATGTGCGCGGGGCTAAGGCGAGAGCCACAGTTTGAAAACGACCTGCCCTCCATCTGTGAAGCGGTTGTCATTTCCTATGCGTCGGAATCATAAATGGTGAGGAAGTCTCAGGCGAAACGCCAAACCCGCCCTAAAAACCGGCATCTGTTTGCGACAGGGAGGAGTTATCTATAAGGAGAAGGAATGGAGGAGGAGGAGGAGGAGGAGGAAGAGGAGGAGGAGGAGGAGGAAGAGGAGGACGAGGAGGAAGAGGAGGAGAAGGAGGAGGGGGAGGGTCAGGAGTAACAGGAGGGGGAGCAGGAGGGGGAGGAGGAGGAGGACCAATGTAAAGCCAGGAATCATGAGCCATGTTGGAATTAACCCTCCCTCCAAGCTCCCTCTTCATAGGCCTCTACAAGGGTTTATTTCCATTGATGGAACTGCCTCGTTGGAAGACAACCGTTTGAATATCCTGAATCATGGCAGGACATTGCTCTCGGGATTTCAACGCCACGTATCAGCCTGACTGCTGCGTCGTGACGATCCGGAATATGGCCAGAACGCCATTCTTGGTATTGCAACACCGCAATACCAACATAACTGTTGCACCTGCATAATCTTGAGCCCTTCCTAAACAGTTTCTGGTACGTTGATCATGGGAATCCGTGAAACTCTGGTACAGTTTGAAACGAATGTGCGCGGCGCTAAGGCGAGAGCCACATTTTGAAAACCACCCGCCCTCAATCCGTGAAGCTCCTGTGATTTTTTGAAAACGAATGTGCGCGGTGCTAATGCGAGAGCTACATTTTGAAAGCCACCCGCCCTCAATCCGTGAAGCTCTTGCAAATTTGTAAAACGAATGTGCGCGGCGCTGAGGCGAGGGCTACACTTTGAAAACCATGAAGCTCTTGTGATTTTGCACGCGATTACCACATTTTGAAAGCCACCCGCCCTCAATCCGTGAAGCTCTTGTGAAATTGTTAAACGAATGTGCGCGGCGCTCAGGGGAGAGCCACATGTTGAAAACCACCCGCCCCCAATCCCTCCGTGCAACTTGTTACAATTTTTGAAACGGATGTGCGCGGGGCTACGGCCAGAGCCATATTTTGAAACGCACCCGCCCTCCATCTGTGTAGCTGTCGCCACTTTTCAGCTTCAGAGTTATAAATGGTAAGGAAGTCTCGGGCGAAACGCCCGGCACGCCCTAAAAACGGGCCTCGGGGACCCGACGGGGTGCGACAGGGACAAGTTACCTATAGGGCAAAGGAAGGAGGAGGAGGAGGAGGAGGAGGAGGAGGAGGAGGAGGAGGAGGAGGAGGAGGAGGAGGAGGAGGAGGAGGAGGAGGAGGAGGTGGAGGTGGAGGTGGAGGTGGAGGTGGAGGTGGAGGTGCAGGTGGAGGTGGAGGAGGAGGTGGAGGCGGACAGCACGACAGCCCGAGCCACAGTCAAAGAAGAACGAGCTGTCGTCGAGCAGGCGGAGGAGGAGGATGAGGAGGAGGTGGAGGAGGAGGAGGAGGAGGAGGAGGAGGAGGAGGAGGGAGGGGGAGGCGGTGAGCAGCCGCTGGAGGAGATCGGCGCCCCGCGCCTGGCCCCCCCCGGCTGCCCGAAGACGAGCTTCGCTGCGGTCGCCGCGGCGCTGCAGGCCGAGTTGCTGCTGCCCCTGCGGGCCCTCAACGAGGGTTTCGAGGGCACAAACATGGGGACCGCGGCCAAGTTGTTGCGGGGTCTTGCTGATACCGACCTTGCCCCTGGTCCATGTCGGCCGCCGCCGATATGCGTGGAGGATCCAGACCAAGATCGACGGTGGCCAAGATCGGCACAACAAAAACACGGCGTAAACGTACACTATCGGAACTCCGCGCGGATGTTTTGGACCTACGCTGGCCCCCCCCTGGTGGCGCCTCCGTCGCCGCCCTTGGCGCGCTCCGCGCGCCGTGGAGGGGGGTCCAGCGCCGATCCGAGAAGTCCGTGCGGACTGCCAGGCGTTTCTGTTTATGTTGTTCTTTGTTCCTCTGGCCCATGTTCTCCCTGTTTTGTTTATGCTCATGCTTGTGCTCATGCTGTTTTTTTGTCTGTGTTGGCCTGTGCTTGTGCTTATGTTGTTCTGTTCTTATGTTGTGTTCTTTTCTTTTTTGCTTATGTTGTGTTCTTTTCTTATGTTGCTTGTGCTTATGTTGTTTTCTGCCCCTCCAGGCACGGAGTCCATGACGCGGACCTTCCAGGGGGCGCCGGTGCCGCGTGCGCCCATCGAGCAGGCCGTGGGCGCGCTGACGGCCGCCGTGCTGGAAGGGGAGTACTCGCGGTGGCGGTACGAGATCGTGGAGCAAACAGTGACGCCAAGCCAGTGAGAGCGCAGCACCCAGACCCCCTCGCGTTGTGAAAAAGTCACGGCGGGAAGTTTTTCGCCATTTTCAGCTTCCCGGGGGCCCTCACCGGGCCTCGGGACCGTAACAAAAACGATTCAGGATGAGAAACTGGGCAGCAGGGTGGGATGTGGGGGGGGTCGGGAGGAGGAGCGAGGGGGGCGGGATAACAGGAGGGGCGAGTGACAGGGGGATGCGTTTGCAGAGAAGGAAGAGATGGCGGGGGGAGTTAACGCTTCAGGGTTTGGCGCGTTAACCCCCCCCTCCTTCTTTCCCTCCACCTGCAAACGCATCCCCCTTTCACTCGCCCCTCGTGTTATCCCGCCCCCCCTCGCTCCTGCTCCCGCCCCCCCCTCCGACCCCGATGCTGCTAGTATCATTTTTCTACGGTGGCCGAGTACGCCGCAACTCGGGTGTGCCGGTGCCTTTTGACGAGCGCGTCCTGGGTTTTGACGGGTCAGCTTTCGTGGGAAGCTTGCAGCCGGAGCTCGCATCAGATTTCAGACTTGGGTGTCGCCATTTTCATGATGGCCTCGTCATGCTAACCCGAGTCCCCCGAACCCGAGTCTCACGTCTCCCCGACAAGTTATGGGAGCCTTGTTTGCCTGCGTGATTCCCTTGTTAGAGTGCATCAGCGTCGATTCGCGTCGGGTAGTCGACGAGAGAGCGCCGATTTAGCTTCGATCAGCGTCGATTAGCGTCGGGGAGCAAATAGTGACATAAGCATGCACTTTTGCCCGGCGGCGCGCCCAGGGCGAAGTGAGAGGGACAAGACCTTCTCAGAAGGTGGTGCGGCTTCTCAGAAGGCCCGAGGCCTTTCAAGCCTTCTGAGAAGGCCCGCCCCCTCTTACTTCCCCTGGGGCGCGCCGCTGATTTTTTCGGTAGCGAATCATGGGAGTCTTGAGCACCCATGTGATTCAGTTTTTAGAGAGTGCGTTAGCGTCGATTATCGTTCTGTAATCGATACGAAGGCGCCGATTTAGCGTCGTTTAGCGTCGATTTTAGCGTCGATGAGCATTGGTTCGCAAGAGCCAACAAGATGGTTTTGGAGGCTCCCATGAGTTGCCGCAGAGATCCTTTCGGAGGTCCGTGCGGATTTCTCGGATCTTCGCTGGAACCCCAGGCGGCGCTTCCGGCGCCGATCCAAGAGCTCCGCGAGGACCTCCGAAAGTTTACGATCATGGCTTTGTTTGTTCCTCGACGAGAACCCGGTTGGGCGGGAGCAGCTGCGGGGGCTCACCGAGGCGCAGGTGGAGAAGTGGCGCGAGCCCACGGAGACGCGGGTGGGGACGCTGCGGGTGCACGAGGACTCGGCCGGCGAGCTGGGCCTGTTCTGGGCCACGAAGATCGGCGGCCCCAGCCACGGCTTCGACTTCGAGGGCCAGTGCCTCCTGCCGCTGCTGTGCAACGCGCGGCACAAGGTGGTGCTCGTGACCGCCGAGGAGTTCCCCCACAACCCGTGCGGCCGCGCGCACTTCCGGCTGCTGTGGGTCGCGGGCTCCGAGCCGCCCCGGGCGGTGCTGTGGCTGGAGGGCGTGCACATGGACGGCGCCGTGTGGGAGCACGGGGCGCACGTCCCGCGCCTCGACGGCCCCGTGCTGGAGCACGCCGTGGCCAAGGCGGTGGCCATGGGGGTCGGCCTGTCCGTGAGCAGCCACCTGCGGCAGGAGCTCGCAAGGGTTGCCGGCGGGCGGGGCGAGGTGAGGCAGGTGAACGACGCCGTGGTGCTGCGGCCCTCCAACGGGGTCGTCGAGGCGAGCGACTACCTCGACTCTCGGCACGACTGGGTGCAGATGAAGGAGGAGGTCACTGGCCGGCACTCCCGCGCCCTCTTCGAGCCTCGCGCCGAGAGGTGACGGTGCTGGCGCCCCGCTGCCTGCTGCTGGGGCCCGCAGGCTTTGGGTGTTCGCCGCCGATAGCGACGTGGGCTCCTCCCTGCTCCTCCTTCTCCTTCCTCCTCCCCCTTGCCCCCGCTCCGCCCTGGCTCCTCCCTGCTCCTCTCTGCTGCTCGTGCTGCTCCTGCTGCTCCTCCTTCTGCCCCTCCACCCACTGCCCCTGTGCGGTGGGGAAAAAAGTGGGCAGCCTTCCAGTGCAGGGGGCCTTTGTCCTCTCCCAGGGCCTCTGGCCTTCGTCCCTCGTAGTCTCTCTGTGTCGCAAGCGGGTGCAGGACAGAGAAGAGTCACAGGACAGAAGAAACAAAATGAGCAGTAGGCTGGTGAGAAGCAGGGTGACGAGCAGGAGGATGAGCAGTAGGAAGAGGATGATGAGAAAGAAGGAGGAGGAGAAACGACAACGGGAACGGGAGGAGTGGTCTGACCATAGGAAGGTGGAGGAGGGGAACGGAGGCGGGCGGCAAGGACGAAGGGAGCGAATCCAAAACGGTGGCCCACGCCGGCAAGAAAGCGCAATGCTGAACGACGGGAGCAAAGCTCCTTTCCTGGAATGTGGTCAACGCTGCAGCGGACAAACCATTTCTCTAGGACCGAGAACGTTCCGATCAAATGAATGCACAAACTGTTGGTCTCCTCTGATTGTACAGCATTGCGTTACATATAGGAGCCCCGCACAGGTCAGTATCAGTGAATAGAGGAGAGTAGTATGCGTTTTGACTTATTGTGGAAGGGGATGGTTCAGAGAGAAGTAGGATGACTCACTGGACGACTCACTGGATCCTTTGTCTAGTTTGCTAGCAACTTGTAATCATATGCGTCGGTGCTGTGCCACATCCCTTGGACTGAGCTTCCCCACTTTGATAAGGCATCTCTTGTCCGGGACGCACGCCAGCAAGGCGCCCTGATGGCTTCTGCAGCGTGCCATTGAAATGACGACACTTGTCCAGCAACAGTGTGGAATGCACCCGTGACGAAGAGCACCCGCCTTCCAAGGTTCACCACCCACCAAGCCACCCCAACCCTACTACCCGAAGGCCCCAATGTGCCCTCGATTTCCAGTGGGGGGGGGGGTCTCGGGGAACAATGAAAAAACATATACGGAACCCGTACCCCCCCCACCCGAAATTCGGGTCTTCGGGTTGGGTTGGGATGGCTTGGTAGATAGTCAAAGGTGCGTTGTTCTGCAGGAAGCCCTGCCGCAGCACCACCTGCACCGACCTGTTTCCCAGGAAGTGCGCGGTGGACGTGGGCAGCGCGGCGTCTCCCACTCAGGAGCGAAAGAAGGACGTGCACGTACATGAATCCACGCTGGTTTCGAGAGTACGCATTGCGCAAATGTTGTATAACGCGGCCAGTCTCGCGGATCGAGGGGCCGTGTTCATGTACATAGCTGGGCGCGGACGTCCCTTGTGGGCTCCATACCCACCCTCGCGACCACAGCACCGGGTGGAGCGCAGAGCGGCGGATCATATTTTTCTAGCATTTTTGAATATTCAGTTTTCGCCCACAACCCACCTGTATGGGAGGACACGCCCAACCTAACACTTGTCAAGCAGGCGCCGCGCCGTGAATCACGACGCCGTCATGCTGCAGTTTCCTTCCGCGCGCATGCACCAAGACTGTCTCACAGTTCTGCGCACAGCAGCTTGTCCAGAGCCGACCAACAGTTGCAACCTCACTGATGCAGAAAGCCGTCGAAAGGCTTCGTCGATAACCTCTTTTGTTTGCCAGCCGCTTGGAATCATATGCATCGATGCTGTACCAAACCCCTTGGACTGAGCATGCCCACTCTGATAAGGCATCTCTTGTCCGGAGACGCACGCCGGCAAGGCGCCCTGATGGCTTCTGCAACGTGCCATCGAATAACGGCATTTGGCCAATAGAAACGAGGAGTGCATGAGTGACAGATAACAACCGCGAAAAACCTTGAAGCGCACTTCCTCCCCCCATGAGGAGCGGAGGAGGGGGAAGAGGGGGGATGAGCGATGGGGGCGAAAACGCGCAGGGGGGATGAGCGGGGAGAGACTTGTTCTTTGACCCCCCCCATTCCTCCCCATCTCCAGGGACCCTCCGAACCCTCAACCATTTTCGACAAAAGAGTCCGCCCCCATTCCCTGACTGCCAGGGGCCCGCAGAGACCTCGGAAAACCTCCAGAATGGCAAGGTCACCGCCGATGAGCTTCCGAGCGAGCTGCCAGGACCGCCGCCTCAACCACGACCCGCAGGAGGTGTGCTTCCTCAAGTTGCCTTCGGCCCATTCCGCCATCGTGCTTGGGTTGTGGGCCAGGGTCCTCTCGGATGCCCCTCTGGGGTCTCTTGGGGTGCCTCTTGGGGTGCCTCTCGAAGACCTCTCTTGGGGTCTCTTGGGCGCTGCTCTTGGTTTGGGGGCCTTCAGCGCCCCACCCCAAACGCCTCCACTCGAGGGAAGACACACGGGGACCATGACCAAGACGTCGCGGGATCTGGTCGATGCCAATCTAGGTCATGGTCCATGTCGGCCGTCGCCAACTCGCTCGACGGTGACCAAGATCGACACAACGTTTCCGCGTTCGGTCTTGATCATGATCCCCGTTTTCTTCCCCTCCATCCACTGTGCCCCGCTGGCGGAGGTGCGCTGCATCCCTGCCCCCTTGGAGCAGCCTGCAGCCCGAAGACTGCACTGCCCCACGTCCTCTGAGAGGCGGAGGGCCCCCGTCGTCGTCGTCGTCGCAGCCGCCGCCGCCGGCGTCGTCGTCGTCGTCGTCGTCGCCGTCGCCGTCGCCGTCGCCGTCGCCGTCGCCGTCGCCGTCGCCGTCGCCGTCGCCGTCGCCGGTCGGATCGTGATCGTCGTCGCCGACTGAGAATCGAAGCTCGCCGCTGATCGGGGATCGAGGCGGAGGGGCTCTTCAGAAGGCCGCCCCCGAAGCCCGAGCGCAGGGGCCCTCGATCGCGCGGTCGCGGCAGGGCGTGCTGCGTGGGAGTTGCCCAAAGCGTCTGTGGGGGCAGCGATCCGCAGCCCGCTAGGCCTCCCAGATGTGTTCCGAGTAGATGGGGTCGGAGGGGCGCCGCATCGCCGATGTATCGGCAATGCTGCTCGATGTGGAGCCTGATTTTCTCCACGCCGACGGCGCCGATGCATCGCCGACGTCGCCGATGCATCGCCGATACATCGGCGATGCGCTGCGGTCCTCTGGCCTCATCTACCCGGAATCCATCTAAGAAGCCTCTAAGCCCGGAATCCCGCGGCAGGTGCAGATCAACAACGACACGAAGATGGTGCACAGCCAGCAGACCGTCCTGGAGGCCCCAGGGAGGGTCGGGGGCCTGTTGCCGTTGCAACGATGCTTGCGGAGCCCCAGTCTCGCCTTCCATCGATGTGCCGCTGCCATGTGCCCTCCAAGAATTCTTAGACTCGGGGGGCAGACTGCGAAAGTAATCGATGACCACGGCGAGTAGGACCAACCATGCGGCCTGAATCTCACGTGTTGGTATGTGCGTTTGCGTATTTGTAGCTTTCGGCCACTCCCGCCATTGTGCGCGGGAATTGGGTCGAGTGTTGTTTTTGGTTCTTTCTCTCTGTAATCTCTCTTTATTTCTGTTAGCCAGCGGTGGCCCCAAGTATTGTGTTTCTAGCAATATACGTGGTGCAATGTATGCGAAGCAATATATCTGCTGCAGTATAGGTTGTGCAGTATTTGTTGTGCAATGTGCAATATAGGTTGTGCAACCTATATTGTGCAATATGAGGTACACTATACGTTGTGCAATGTATGCCGGATGGTACAGATTGTGCAATATATATGGTGCGGTCTAGGTTGTGCAAATATGGTGTGCAACCTACGTTGTGCAATACATTTGGTGTGCTCTACGTGTTGCAATCTATGTGGGGCAATCTATGTGGTGGGCAAACGATGTGATCGGAGGTTGGGGGATGTGAACGGAAGTGACCCAAAACGGGAAAGCAGTTTCGGTTTCGGTTCGTGCCGTGCGTGCTGGCGAGGAGAGGCTGGGCGGGCGTGCGTGCGGGCGAGGTTGCAGTAGAGGCCACATGGAGCCCGTCCTCCCCCCCGGCTGGGCGCGGCCCCCGATGGTTGTCCCGCGGGTTGTCTTGATTAATGTCCCGATGGTTGTCCCGATGGTTGTCCCGATGGCTGTCCCGATGGTTGTCCCGATGGTTGTCCCGGTGGTTGCCCCGATGGTTGTTCCGCTGGTTGTCCCGATGGTTGTCCCGATGGTTGTCCCGATGGTTGTCCCGATGGTTGTCCCGATGGTTGTCCCGATGGTTGCCCCGATGGTTGTCCCGGTGGTTGCCCCGATGGTTGTTCCGCTGGTTGTCCCGATGGTTGTCCCGATGGTTGTCCCGATGGTTGTTCCGATGGTTGTCCCGATGGTTGTTCCGACGGTTGTCCCGATGGTGTTGTCCCGATGGTGTTGTCCAGATGGTGTTGTCCCGATGGTTGTCCCGATGGTTGTCCCGATGGTTGTCCCGATGGTTGTCCCGATGGGTGTCCCGATGGTTGTCCCGATGGTTGTCCCGATGGTTGTCCCGATGGTTGTCCCGATGGTTGTCCCGATGGTTGTCCCGGTGGTTGCCCCGATGGTTGTCCCGCTGGTTGTCCCGATGGTTGTCCCGATGGTTGTCCCGATGGTTGTTCCGATGGTTGTCCCGATGGTTGTTCCGACGGTTGTCCTGACGGTTGTCCCGATGGTTGTTCCGATGGTTGTCCCGACGGTTGTCCCGATGGTGTTGTCCCGATGGTGTTGTCCAGATGGTGTTGTCCCGATGGTTGTCCCGATGGTTGTCCCGATGGTTGTCCCGATGGTTGTCCCGATGGTTGTCCCGATCCCGGGTTGTCCCGATTGTCCCGATGGTTGTCCCGATGGTTGTCCGATGGTTGTCCCGATGGTTGTCCCGATGGTTGTTGTTGCCCCGATGGTTGTCCCCCGATGGTTGTCCCGATGGTTGTTCCGATGGTTGTCCCGTGGTTGTCGGTTGTCCTGTGGTTGTCCCGATGGTTGTCCCGATGGTTGTCCCGACGGTTGTCCCGATGGTGTTTTGTCCCGATGGTGTTTGTCCGATGGTGTTGTCCCGTGGTTGTCCCGATGGTTGTCCGATGGTTGTGGTTGTCCCGATGGTTGTCCCGATGGTTGACTCGATGGTGTGCCCGATGGTTGTCCCGGTGGTTGTCCCCCGATTGTTGTCCCGGTGGTTCCCGATGGTTGTTCTGTTGTCCCGATGGTTGTCCCGATGGTTGTCCCGATGGTTGTCCCGATGGTTGTTGGTTGTGGTTGTTGGTTGTCCCGATGGTTGTGTCCCGA